ATATATATATATATATATATATATTGTAGAGATTATGATATTTATTTCATCTTTTACCTTTTTCTTTTCTTGACGTGTGTTATAAAAAAAATTATCACTTAAAAGTTGAAATTTCAAGCATTTTTTTGTGTTACATAAAGGATCAAATTCAACTACATAGAATAAAATAAAGCAAGTCAATTAAAGAGAACGAACAGAAAAATAGAGCAAGTCAATGACACTATCATTTACATATCAGAGTTTCACAAAATAGAGAAATGAGATGAGAACAGTACTACAATATTATATATGAGCAATGAACAATAGTGTAATTATTAGTAGAGAAAAAATGGAGAAGACAGGAGCATAGAAAAAAAAAGATGAAAAACTCACTTAAAAATTCTTGAAACACTTGAAAAATCACTTCAAACAATCCTTCAAAATCCAATGGGTTTGGATGAGATTGTTTTATGAATCTGGTATTTATAGATAACACTAGAAAGTCCTTCAAAATCTCTCTCACACAACAATCCTTTAAAATCCTTATATTTTTGAATATCAATGGATTGTTTTTAAGTTGTAGAAAATCTCAAATGAATACCAGTGGATTTTAATGGACTCTTTAAAAAATATTGAAAATCCAGATTGAATACCACTGGATTGTTTTTAAGTGACATAAAATCCTGATTGAATATCAATAGACTTTTTTACTCAAAAAATGTCTTTTAAAATCCTACGAAATCCTAAACCAATACACCCTCCATATATACTATCAGTGTAAAGTTTTTTTACATTGACAATCAATCAGATTTTTTAATAGTGTCATGTCATTTGTTTATTTAATTAAATTAAAATAAAATAAATACTATTAAAAGACCTGATTGGTTGTCAGTGTAAAAAAACTTTATAGTGGTAATGTATAGATAATTAAGTCATTGTTTTATGTATTATGAACATACCATAATTATACATTTCATTTTATAAAATTTATCACTGTTTTCTATATATTTCTTATAAAACTAGACATAAGCTACACGAAACACAGGTTTTTCCAAATTAATCTTCTCCTGTCGTGCTACCTCTAAAAAAAAGGTAAAAAGAGGGGGAAAAAGATGATGATAAGTGTTTGGTCTAGGATGGATGAGATTTGAAGTAAGCTAAAACCCCGACAAGAGGTGCATTGATATATGTTGTAGGTTCAGAGTGTGCAAAATCTGCTCGAGAATCTGCATATGAGTCCTTAATATCAGGTCCACCCACAACAGCTCCTGAAAGCAAGTTGGGGTTTGGATTTTGGGTTTGAAAATAAAAGGATCCTTCTTTGCAACCAATGTGGCCACGGTGCTCATCTACGGATGGCAATGACGACGCACGGTGATGTATTCTTTCAGGATATTTTCCTCCGTATCCAACCATGTATGACATATTCTCTGGATTGCTTCCAAGTATGTAATCCACCTGCATAAATGTGTACATGTACAGTAAACATATAAAAACAAATCGTTGAGTTACCATATGGACTTAAAAGTATAGTTAAATCTAAAATTTGCATATATACCTGGCTTCTTGCTATTTGTTTGAGTCGCGTTGGAGAAGCCAAAACATTACCACTACAGTCAATCTGTTGATTAGTCTTTTTCAAATAGCCAGCATAAACCAGAAACAGAAATGAGAATGCTGTTGCATGCTGCAAATTACTCCCGCCAGGCTTGAATAGAAGCCCACCTAATTTCTCAAACACAATTTGGAAAAGGTTCAGTCATCCACTATTAGTAATGCAAACTTGTTAATCATAAGATGGAACGTACTTTAATGTTGACCCCTGGTATACTTTTAGATTATGGCTAATTATTTACCTGGAGAGTATGAGACTGATACTGAAGGTGATTCAGGTAGCACTGAACAGACAAACTTGTCTGCGTTGAGGCTGAACGGCTTAGAATTAAAGCTACTATTCATTAGAAGCTGCCAGTGATTATGATTAGCAAAGACAAAAATCATCAGCCATAACATAATAATAATAATAATAAAAAATAGGTGCCAAAAAAAGACATAATATAGATACATACCTTGGAAAGTAGCACGTTGATGCCAGCGTCCTTTGAGTCCCATCCAAATTCACCATAGTTTTTCACATTATGAATGTTTTTGGCAATGTAATCCAAGTAATAAGGGAGCTTAGTAGCCTTCAACAACCATGCTGCTCCCCACACCAATTCGTCCTGTATATTATTATTCACAAATTACTTTAAGTAATTTCTTTCTAATATCATTGCTCATAAAATTTGTAGAATGAACAGTAGGCGTACGTACCTGGTAGCCACTAAAATCACAGTAGAATGGGCATACCCAGTGTCCGAGGCTGTCATTGTATGATCCTCTGTATTTATCAGCAAAGTCAAAAACCTAAGTCCATAGAAAAAAAGGAAAATTCTATAAATTAAAGCTTATATAAATAAATTGAATCAAACTATATTGAGTAAATTACATTAAATAAGTATTCCTATATCTCTTAGATACTATATAATAACCCTTTATTTATCTGAAAAACATTATATAGTAACATCATAGAATGTTAGTAGAATTTCACGAAACATGGTAATAATTTACTCAAGTATATATACCATTGTAGCCCTTTTGAGAAGTCTTGAAGAATAAGAGAGATGGTATTTCCTATATACAATAGAAGAGGCTGCAAGTGCTGCTGCAATCTCTGCAGAAAGTTCAGAGGCAGGGTAGTCCTTGGTAACAGCAAAAGCAGTTCTTGGTGTGTCCATGTCTTCGGGTCTCTCCCAGCAATTGTGATCAGCATAAGGGTCACCAACTTGTGCAAACACAAACCCTGGGATGCTAGTGGCTTTCAGCAAATAGTCCGTGCCCCAACGAATAGCGTCTAGTGAGTGTTTCAGCTCTGGACCCATGAATTTTCCGAACTCTATTACACTCCACGCCAGCATCGTCGTTGAAAATGCCATAGGGAAGTTGAATTTCATGTTGTCACCAGCATCGTAGTAACCACCAACCAAGTCAACCTATTATTGCGTTCATAAGACCAAATCATCTTCTTAATCAATTAACTAATTTCATACAAGAAATCAGAGTTTTCAAAGCCAATAATTGAAATTGAAACAAATAATTTCATAACCCCAACCCCTCGTCTTATGAGACACCAAAGAGCCATTACTTTCAAATGCACATATAGTTTTATAATTTTATTTTTATTATATAAAAAAGAAAGTGAAGATACTTCTCATTGTTATTAATTATACTTCCCTAGTTTATATATACTTTTTACCCTTACAAATACACGACATGTACCTATAAAGATCCTTTGAGTACTTAAAAAAAAAAGTTAGATTATTTTTTCAAACACTGTCCGTCTTATTTATATACGACTTATATATCTATTTAACTTTATAAATATGATTCAATTTTATTTTTTTAATTAGCACAACTTATTATAATAAAATTTAGAGTAAAATGAGATTAATATTACTACTAAAGTCAAGCTTAATGTCAATAAATTGGGATGATATACACCGAGTCTGAGTTTTAAATTAAATTTCATTTATAAAAAGAAAGTTAAAATTATATTATATTCTTCTTATATTAGGATGAAAGTTAAAATTATATTATATTCTTTTTATATTAGAATGAAAGTTATAAATTATATTTTTTCAAGTGGTTCGTCGACATATGTGTTGTTTAATCAAGAATTAGAATTTAATATTTGTTTTAAACATAAAATCGTGAATTTGATCTTAAGCATAATAAGAAGGAATTATACCTTTTTAAAAAAAAAAATTATGATAGAAATAGAAATTTGGGTAAATTAAAGTAGTGAAAATTGAGAGGAAGAGGTGAAAAGTGAATTACTTTAGGAGGGAGAGGAGAGACATTAGAAGGAGGAAGTATATAGAGATCTTGAAGTGCAGAATCCTTCCTCCAATTCATCCTCTGTGTTGGTGGCAATTTCCCTGATCTCTGGCCTTCAAAGAACAATATGCTCTTTGACAATGCTTCTCCATAGTTATGCCTCAACGTCAACCCTCTCCCACTCAATATGCTACCCACCACTATCAACAACCACCTTTGTGCCAAACCCATATCATATATCCTCTCTCACTCTCTCACTTTCCAAGAGGAGACCCTTATATACTTATATATATATAATCAAACCACTATTTAATAATCATCAATTAAGAAAAGCGTACGTATATTCATGAAAAGGATAAGGAAGTGAGGCGTACGGATTTTGTTTATCTAAGCAAACATTTGCGCAAGAAAAGGGAACAAAGAAGATGGAATGAGAAAAGTCAGGAGCGGATCAAGGCACTTTCGAAGCATCTCTACCAATGTTAGTTCCAAAGAACCATTTCAATGCTTCTCATTCCATGAATAAATGCCCATTCTCTACGCTTAAATACACTCTTACTTTCGCTTCACTTCATTTTTCACCTTCAATATACACGTTTTTGTAAAAACATCTTTGTTTTTTTAAAAATTAATTATATTCATACTATTTTGCCAGAATGTTTTTATAAGTTATTTTTTCATGGAAATGTTTTAGAGATTTTTTTAACTTCTTATTTAATTCAACTTTTTATATATCATATTTATCAATTAATTTTTATATTTTAAAATAAATTACCAATAATTAAAAATAATCTTATACCACAATATAAATTATTTATCTTTAATATAAAATATAATTTATATGTTTAAAAATGTTTATTTATATATATAATTTACATACTAAAATATTAAGTTTTTTTTAATAATAAGATAATGAATTCTTGATTCGTAGTATACAAAATTGTTATATTATCATTATATTCTAATTAAATTATAATAAAAATATCTTTCATTTCTATAAATTTATTTGAATTTTAAAAATATTCATACAATATAATGCACACACAAAAATGATTATAATTAAAAAATTAAATTCATAAACTATTATCGAAGCCTTATTGATTTTAGTTTTCTTGTGTGCTCATTGTTGCTCAGATTCCAAGACTTTATATATTTCAAGGCTTTTACTAGAAAATAGAAAATATAACAAACTGAATACGTTATGTCGTTATCGACAAGTTAGACTTAAAACGTGTACATCAATGTATAAACGAGCAGTCATAAAGAAACTACTCAGTTTAACATATTTTTTTTTTAGCAAAAATTTAAGAGAAGAAAATGATGACCTATTCAATGTATGAAAAAACTTTAAACTCAAAACACTTATAATTTAAACTTATATTTAGTTTATCCCTCAAAAACTGGTGAGGCATTTGAACTTGTGACCTGTGAACTTATTAAAAAAAACCTTCAATATCATCTTTAGGTAAACATCACCCTCGTTGCGAACGGTTTATATAATCATCCCTAGACTTCGATAAATTGATAATGCATGCGGTAAATGGTGCATGGAAATTAATTAAATAATTTTATAGGATTGTTCGAAATAACTCTTCTAATCTTTTAATTAGTTGAAGGAGCTAAAGTATTAAAACGAATAACCTTTAAATAAATCCATGTATTTTTGCCGTGTTTAACTTCAAACATGATCATGGATCAAGTTATGAAAAGTCAGAAGTCATCAATTTCCTATAAACACCTATAATAAATTTGTATAGGTAAAGAAGGGCTGTTCGTAGGATGTTTGATCCTAGTTTTAAAACCACCAATCATCCATTTATGTTTATTAGTTAAAATAGCTTTTAATACTTTTTTGTATTTTTTTTTTAATCTTTATTAGCTTAAAAGAAAGACAAATTGGGCTTCTAAAGCCCACCGGCCAAATTTAAAAATGAATAAATAAGAATCCTATGATATTTGAGCCCATCTAAAAATAATGCCCAGTTTTTCTCCTGGTCCTCACCCAATAGAAACCCATCATGTACCAAACACACCAATGACCAAACCCTGTATTGGAATCAATTTTGGTTTCAGCCATTGGTGGCAACTAATAAGTCTTTCTCACACGCACTAGGGCACTAGGCCATATACGCAGCACCAATAACCCACACTACAACTACAGGACACTCCTACGTAAACCATGACCGTTTCTCACACTTTCATACTCTCAAAATTCCTCCATCAAAGATACCATATAAAACAAAAATACCAAATTACTTCAAGGTAGCGTTTGTTTATATTTTTTAAATCAGATTAGGACTATTATGAGAAGGAATAACTTACTATATTATATATATATATATATTAAATTCTAAAATAGAGTAAAAATAAAAATAAAAAATAAAAATTGCAAGCACTTCTTTTTAATAATTATTTTGCTTTGACTAACTATCAAGAGAGTTCTGATTTATGTAGGGTTAACTTATTTATCAAATTTAAATTAAATTAAATTGAAACCTTTTAAAATAATTTAATTAAAATTATGATGATATTGTTTATAATTTATCTTTCAGACTTCTTTAAGATATAAATTATTTATTAAATCACCACAACATTCATTTTTTCAATGCTAAATGAAAAGGTAAAAGTTTTTTAATTTACCAACGAGATAAAATATTTAATAAAGAAAAAATATTGTGTGGAGATGAGATTGTAAGATGACGGTAAACAAAAAAATGAGAATATAATAGGCTTTTACCGTAAAGAGAAATAAAATTTTAAGATGGGTAATTTTTTTAAAAGTATTTATTTATAATTACTTAACCAATAAACACTACTATTTTTTTTAAAAATATTATTGTAAAAATGATTTTAAAAGATTCTACAAAAAATGTTATATATAATGATATATAAAAATCATCACTATAAATATAATATATGTAAATATAAATCAATTTGACTTATAGTTACATGTATTTAATGTTAATTTTAAATGAAATTCAATAATATATATTATATATCATGTAATTTATACCTAAATTTTTTTAATAATATACCAGTATATATTATATATATAATATAAGTAAAAATTGTTTTTAATGATAAATAATATATCACTATAAGATATGTATCATTGGATAACAATTTTGTTATAATAAAATGTAAACCATAAAATTAAATTGACCTTAAATTTATGATGGATATCTTTACTTTTAAAGTTAACCTATAAGTCATTATTCATTTATATGTCAGAGAAAAGTCATCTCTAGCTCTAAAGTAAACTTAGTGTTTAATAGGATTAGCCCTAAACGTAGTTAAATTATGTTTTGCTGTGAAAAGATTGAGTGATAACCCACACGGCTATTTCTTAATTTGCCGTCTCTAGTCTTTTATTTGGTTAATAACACTAACATTGGACATAATTAATTAGTTAGGAAGGAGGGTTAAAACAAAGGAATATAGCTAGTTTTTTCAGTAATTGAAAGGTTATGACTTCAAAGATTTTTCAACACGCGTTTTATTACGAAAGCATGACATATTGGAGAGCTCACAATGTGAAAAATAAAATAAATTAAATAAAGTACAAGTGGTATGTTATTAAGTACCTTAGTATGAGTTTATTGCATAACTGCGAGTCACTACAAAGTTGGTGAATATGATTCCTAAAGACACTTCTTCTAATCCTTTCTATATCTTATTCACATTATTATGGTTATAATTGGTATTATCATTTACAAGGTGGTGCAAACCCACATGTAATCATGTACATTTCCCTGTTTTAATTTGTTATCATCTAACTTTAGGTAGTAATACCATTTTGTGAAAACAAGGTGATGACACAACGGAAACTAGAAAAACAACACAATAATTAAAATGATTAACCCCAGAGGCTATTTCCACGACCTTTTGTTTCATTGATGAAATAAGTTGACAAATCCTGGGTATACAGACACATATATAAATAATATTTCTTGTTCTCTTTTGGCAACTCACTTATGTTTTTCTGGGCTCACTTTGATCTCCGGCTCATTTAATACTCGTAATATCATATAAAAATCATGACTTAATTCTAAACATTCATGTGCGGTGTACATCTTTGTGTAAATAAGTAATGGCCTTCTGCTTCTCCACGGAAAATAAAACAGAATAAAAGTTTAATTATATATATATATATATATATATATATAATTTGTTGTTAAGAAGCAAATAATAACTAGATTGACAATAGTAAATTTCTCATTTCGTGTGAGCCAATTAACAAGATGTACCTGAGTTGATACATAGAGTCTGTATATTATGTCATATACCATGATTGCATATTACATTTGCTATAAAACATGTAGGCATGTAGCATACTGCATACCTGTATTGATATACTCACAGCTTTAGCATTTCATGCATACTCATGTCCTCTTGAGATATTTTTGAATCCTATATTCCCATTTTATCCTAATTGAATGTTACAGGTAGTATTGGAAAAAGGCGCATGGAAAGGGTAAGATTGTCTTTGTGGAGTATAAAAAGTGTAGAGGATAAGCAACCAATACCATGATGCAAACGAGATAGTGATATCAGAAGTGGGGCCCCATGTGCATTTCAGAAGCCGCATCCCCATTCGTTTCTTTGCCACGTCACCATCCAATCATGTTTCGTAACAGCCCCCACATCCAAAAGTCAACTCACCTTTCTACATTTTCCTATTCATTTTTTTTTTAAATTTGATTAAATGCCCGATTCCCTCAATCCTTATTATTATTATTATTATTATTATTATTATTATTATTATTATTGTGAGGTGCAAATAATACCCACGCTCACACAAAAACCCAATTATATGACAACCTTTTCCACAAGAGTAAAACAAACCAACAATGCTTCGCTTTTTGCCCTTAAATTTTACACAATTATATAATTGGTGTACAACCAATATCAATATTTTCTTACTATAAAGACAAAGTAATATTTTGGTTGAAGAAAACACCCACAATAATAATTAGGTTGTGAGTAATAAGTTTGTATTGTTATTATGAGTTGCTCTGCCCACTCGCAAAAAATTGCACGTGTTGTTGCTCTAAAGAGTGTGGAACATGAATATCCCAATTCCCAACCAAAAAGCGAACATGGGCCACGACGTGGGCCCACATGCCATAGTGGGCTCCGCACAACTCAGCCCAACTTGCAATTCTAATCATGTAGGCTAGCTCACGCCGGACCACGAGCCGCTACGTACACAGCCATCAAACGAAGGTGGGTCCCACATTCCACCACACTGCTCACTGCTCACTCACTCGGCTCGGTTTCTATATCAAGCCGGCTAGCTTAGCCACTTTGCAAAAGGCTCATGCAACGGGCCCAATCATTTTACTTTTAAAACAAAAGCCTTCTTCTAGTCTTTCATATTTGGGCCCATCTCTCATGCCTTCTACAATATTTATAACTCTATCTACTCTTTGCTAATAATCTATTTAAATTTTATGATGTACGTACTTCCTCAAGCTAATTCTCTCATGGGCCATTGATCTGTAATTATAATCCATGTACCGAAACCAATAACCTAATGTACCTTCTAAAAGAGTATTATTTGATTTTCCATGCACCCTCGTAGAGTAGTACTTGATATTTATTATTTAATATTGTGGTTACAAAAGTAATGACGTTATTGCTTTAAAAGTGCCACCTACTAAAAGACCACAACAAATCTCGCATATAGATATAAGAGTAAATAATGTGAAAATCTATACAAACAATATTAAAAAATTCATATTTTTTTTTTATTAGAGAGGTATCCGTATCTCCTATAAAATAAAGTGGTACTTCATGTACGATTTCATATCCAATATAAAGCAAATCCCAATTTTTATTTAAAGAAGACGAGTGAGAAACCACATGTACTAATGACTTTTGGTATTAAGAAATCCATAATTTGAGATAAATAAAATACTTTCATATTTTACAACCTGTTGATAGATTATACGCATTTTAAATTTAGGTTGTATTTTTGTATTAATCTATATATTAGTGATTACTTCTGGCAACTAATTAAGGCCAGACTAATTGACATACACTTTTTCATCAAAAAGAACAAGAAAAACTCACACTTAAAAGAGTTTTTCTAACACGTGACCGATCTTGTAATAAAATATCACCGAAATGATGATATGCACAACATAGCGAATTATAAATTAAAAATTTTATTTTCTTAAATACAGATGAAAATAAGAATTATCACACATGTGCAAGCAATTAATTTAAAAGATGTAAAATGATTTTATGGGTAAAAACGAGAAAAGGAGGGGCTGTGAAAATAATCGAGTGTCCAAATGCAAAGCACAAGGAACATGTGAAGTCTGAGAACGGGACGGAATTATTTGGAAGTGTTGGGACGGGGTCTGAATTCCGTAATGAGTCGACCACCTCACCTGTGACAGTGAGACGTGCAACAATAGATGTAGAATCAATTATGACCCCTCGATAGTGTGATGGAAACGCATTGGTCGCAACAAAATTAGTTACTTCCATCCAAATATAATAATCAAATCATGCCATACCAATATGGGATTGGGATTCATTATACACTAATACCATTTTTTTAAAATCAAAAACATCATTGTGTCGAATGTGCTAAATTAACGATAAATAATATTGTTGTTGAATAAAAATTCCATTGCTCAATCTGAGGAGCACAGGTGATGAATACAGCAATGTTGTACGATCGATGCCTCTATTTCCTTTTCACTTTAATTCCTTGTAATTAGCATTGTATAATCAATCATCTACTTTATGCAACTAGGAAGAAAGCAAATTAGTACGATGCTTCAATATATAGAGTACTACTTAGTGTTTTCATTTTGGTCGTTTACTATATATATATTTTGTCATAAATGATAAATTCATAAATAACTACCCAACAAATTAACACTTCATCCTCTAGCTTTGTATTTTCCCATTGTATCAAGATATATATGGTGTTTGGCGATCTTTCTTCCATATCTTATAAAAAATTTGTTATGTAATAAGGTAATATTTATTATTGAAAATTATTATTATCTACATTATAAATATAATGTATATTACTATATTATTAAAAAGTGTAATTATAGATTATAATAATATATAATATATTAAATTTCATTCAAAATTAATTAACATTAAAATTATGTATATATATATGTCAAAATATATATATTATGGTGTTTGGCGATCTTTCTTCCATATCTTATAAAAAATTTGTTATGTAATAAGGTAATATTTATTATTGAAAATTATTATTATCTACATTATAAATATAATGTATATTACTATATTATTAAAAAGTGTAATTATATATATATATATATATGTGTGTGTGTTAATTAATTTCACATATATTTGTTAAAGAGTAGGTTTAATTAGGTAATGCTACATATTTTATTATTATGATCATATTTGAATAATCTTTTCTATGAATATTTATAGAAAAAATATAAGAACGAAAAATCATCATGATAAGTTATATTAAATTTTAAAATAAATAACTAAAAAATCATACCAATAATAATTTTATATTAGTTAACATTATAAAAATATTTTAGTCTATAGAAGAAACACAATTCATTTTATCTTGTTATTCTTTCTTCCTTAAGTAAGTGTTTATGGAAAAATTGTAAGCTGAATAGGAACTGTAGCATTATATTTATCGGTCAATTTGTTAGTAGCATACCTAAGAGAAATCCTTGATCGAAGTGTTATTTGATAGGAATTTTTTTTTTTGCGACTTTAATAAAATCACTTAACTGGCTAATAGATGCATGTATGAAAACTTATACAAAGAGATGAATAATCAATATAAAGCAGTACTTATATATGAATTGGGAATTCAAATCAAAACACACAAGAAATGCATGGTCAATTATTCAAATCCCTTTAATAATTGCACCCACCCACCAGACTAATGTATTTCAAACCTGTGTTTGTAACAATAATTCATGTTTTGATAGAAGAATGTTTTATAATTTTTTTTAATTTTTTTTTTGTTTCAAATAGATCTTGTCATGAGTTGTACATATATTTGACCAATATAATCTCTAATTTTAGTTAGTAATATATATTTATGAAGTTCTTAGTATTTTATAAAGTTTAATTCAAGAAATTTTAGTTACTATATATGACGAAAAGTTCAATTTTAATTATTTGCTTAATCAGAAAAAGAAAATGTTTGCTTCAAACAATTCATTTGTTCTTTTTTTCTTTTGTCTCGCTCAAGACAAATGAAATAATTATCTCTTTAAAGACATTAACTTTTCCACATTTATTCTGATATAATATTAGAGAAACAGCCATCCAATTGTCGTGGGGCAACAACTTTGGAATTAATCAGGTGAATGAATACGTATGTTCTAACTAGTATGGTAATTAAGATCGCTATAATTTTAATTAGAGATTAATGCAAGGCCTGCAAGGATTATATCATTAGCCTAATTATAAGCCAAACAACCATCACTAGTGATACAGAATTAACAAGAAAAGGGACACGAAGAGAAGGCATTAGCCTAGGTAGCTAGCTTTTGAAGATTTGGCATATATGGGGGCCAATTGTGAATTGTCCCGTAGAACATCCATGAGATCCAGTGTCACTTCCAAGAACATCATCACAATTTAATTACAGTTGAGAATCGAAGATGGTGGAAATGGTAGGGACTAAGAATGAAGGTGGGTCCACCATGCCTCTTTTGTTTCTGAGGGTCTGCCTTTTATGTAAAAGCTATTGGGGTTGGCTGTTCCATTACGTCACCACCAACGCCCCTACGAATTTTGTTTTCCCTTTTTAGTTTTTTTGTGTTCCAAAAATTATATTATGTATTTTAGCATCACTAAATGTTTATAATAATATGATCAAAATCAAAATATATAGGTAAAGATAATTTTTAATTTATAAATTAATGTTGTAAGTTCAAATGTAGACACATTATAATTAGATTATCTGAATATATTTTACGTTTGAGATATCTAATTTAAACTTTAGAAATTAATAAGAGAGAGTGATTATGGATTATGTGTGCACAAGTATTTAATAATTTCTGAGTGTGGCCCTTTAAGATCGGTGATTGGTCTGTGTTGTTAGTTCCTATATCTAATTCCTTCACCGTTTCCTCTCTGCACTAGCTACTAGCTAGCTAGCTCATGATATATTATGCAAAGCTAGCTTGCAGATAGATACATAGAAAGAGAGCGATCTGAGAGAAAAATCTTTCTTGTTCACTCGCTGTTGGTTGGGTCTCTTTCAGTTTCGGGTAGAGGTGGCACTCAAGAGAGCAATTTCCTTGCCTCTACCTCTTCCATTTTTCCTCCACCTTTTATCCCTCTCTCTGACTCCAAAACCTTTCCCACCACCGAAAGTGAGACCTTGTTCTTGAATCATGATATATACCATATAAACCAAAGAGAAGCATTTATCAGTAGGGTTTTGTTTTTTATTTTCATTTTCTCCTTCATACTTAACCCTACTTCTGTTCCTCCGTCTCAGACGTTGCCGCTTTCTGTTCCTTCACACAGGTTGTGACTTCTTGTGTGACAGAATAAAAAGTAAACAGAAAAAGTTGACGGGTTCTGTTCCCGAGGACTTGTGTTCGTAACTGTTTTGAACCTTTTTTAAGTACTTTTATTGTCGTTGAAAATCTTTGTCTGGTTTAGGAGCTTCCTCTCTCTATATATATTTTGAAGTTGAAACATACACCACCACTTTCATCTCAGTTTCAACACCGACTCATTTTTGAAGGAAGATTTTTGTGACTGACCCAGATCTGTGTAGACTGCTATTGCTTGATCTGTAAGCACTCTTACACTTTCTGTCTAAATTCTTTTTGTATGTTCGATTCTTCCTTTAATTTTCTTTGCTGGGTCTTTGAAGGCTGATGCTGAACCACCATATATATACCTGGATCATTTCTTCTAAGTTATCAACGTGAGCAATTTGTTATAAGATATATAAGTGGAGACTTTTCACTTTTCAGATCTTAAATTACTCAGCAACAAATGCTTGAAGTGATGAAATTTAAAGGGGCTTTTTCATTCATTTATTTAATTTGCACCCTACCCCCCTCTCCCCAATCCCCAGGGAGGCTTTTTCTATATGATCTTGGTTACGCTTAAGCATATATACTGTTAGACATTATAAGAAGGTTCATGAACTTTATCCCTTTATAAGCATGGGTCATAGATTAGTGGCAATCACAATGAGTGACAATCACTTGTATGTTCATCTAGTACTAGTAACTGTTATGCATGTCTCTTATCGCATGTGTGTTGACTATGTGAACATTTCACACGCATAATCATCATGGTCGTGCTTTTTTCCCCCCCATTTATATTATATAGCAAGAAACAAATACTCAATAGCATTTTATTCTTCTTTTCCAATATCTTCACTATCTGACAATATCCTTCTTTAATATCATCTATGTATTGTGTATACACATTGTGATGAGATGTATATATGTTAATTTAAGTACATGACTTATTCTTTTCTGACCTTTCGTTTGGAGAAATTAAAGTGGTATTTTAAATTTATACAATTTTTCTTACTACATGAGAAAGATAGGAAGAAAAGCGAAAAAATGTGACATAACATATGGGTAATTTCATAGTTAAATATAGAGAAAAAAGAGTTGTAAAATGGAAGTATAAATAATATAAATCTTATAAAAATTAGGTTTTAGATTATTCCTCTGCAGTGAAAATTTGGGTCATAATAATAAGTATTTAAATTTGGGATCGGTAATAAAACTGATGTTTATTATATATTTTAATCATGTCCCGAAGTGAGTACTGTGTAGTGAAGTTATGCATTAAGTTGAGCTTATTTGTCTTTACTGGAACCTCATTCCCTAATTTTCAAAAGTTACTATTGAATTTTAAAACTTATGAGTTTAAAACTAGCTACTTTTAGCTCACTCTAATCATGGTTATTGTCAGTACTTACAGGTAAAACATTATTAAGTAAAAAAGAAAGAAAAAGAACATAACAGTGCCACTATATTTTCTTAATTATTCACGAAGGGTGAATTTTTCAATTTAATGATCAAATTCGCCTAATCAAAGTAAAAGAGAAGTAGATAACAGTTATTTGTCTCTGACAATTTGGAGTAGCTCAAGTGGGTGTAGATATTTGGAGGAGGTCCAAGCCTATATAGCTAATAGTAAACCTTGATGTTAAAAAAAGTAGCTAAATTTTTGCAATTCTTATCCCCAGAGGTTCATTTATTAATCCTTTCACCTGGGTTGAAAAAGGAAATTAATTTTAAGAATATAACTATATCTGGAAAATCAATTGGCTCAGTTTCAAAACTATCAATAACTTTCCAGTTGCTTGTTTATTTCTTTAATATGACAATTATTTTTGTATGTATTGTACTGGTACCATTAACTTGTTGAAGAACTAATGATGATAAAAGCCATTTGCTCTATCATACTAATATTAAAAATTGGTCAAGCTAGTAAATTACAAATGATGGGATGAAAGTATCTTATTTGATCCAATTTAATTTGCAGGACTCAAGGGATAACATGAATACTTTTACTCATGTCCCACCCGGTTTTAGGTTCCATCCCACGGATGAAGAACTTGTTGATTACTACCTTAGGAAGAAAGTTGCTTCAAGGAGGATTGACCTAGATGTCATAAAAGATGTTGACCTCTACAAAATTGAACCATGGGATCTTCAAGGTAGTACTGATCCAGTTCATAGCATCTAAATTCAAGAGGGGCAATTATATTGGTGATAGATATATAATTATCGTTAACTTCTGCATTGATTGTTTTTTCTTTTCGTTTTGAATTTTATAGAGATTTGCAGAATAGGAACAGAAGAGCAAAATGAATGGTATTTCTTTAGCCATAAAGATAAGAAGTATCCAACTGGAACTCGCACAAATAGAGCAACTGCAGCAGGGTTTTGGAAAGCAACAGGAAGAGACAAGGCAATATATTCCAAGCATGACCTGATAGGTATGAGGAAAACCTTAGTCTTCTATAAAGGTCGAGCTCCAAATGGACAAAAGTCAGATTGGATAATGCACGAGTATAGGCTTGAAACAGATGAAAATGGCACACCACAGGCAAGTTATAATTTCTGAAGTTATATGCTACTAATGCTAGCTTTTAAAGAAAAACTGTTTCCTAAAATTTGTTTTATGTTAATTCAAATTGTGATGTATATACCTAAAGGTATTTAGTTATAAGTTGTTGAATGAGAGAGAGAATGTGTAAAAAAAAAAATAATAATAATGTTTTATTGTTGGTGCAAGAAGAAAGTGTAATAAAAATTGATATTAAAAAAAGTTAGACTCTTTTAAAAAATAAACAATCCTTTTATTTATCTTCAATTTTAAACGTCGTGTAGAAGAAATTACTGGCTTTTTTCTTAT